GCAAGCATATGCTTGTTGTCATGGCTCATTCAGATTAATTAAATAATAAATATACCATCAATCAAGGCATCAACAATTAACAATAGGTTTGACATCCACAAATATCATATACTTCAAATATGATAAAAGTATTGTGATACATACCTGCTGACGAGCTGCTGCAAGCTGTAAGAGCTCATCTGCTTCCGAGAAATTTGTAAACCATTGACTTAAGGAATGATCTTTGGTATCACCTTTTCTTCTTTTACTTGCATCCTCAACAGGTACTGCATTTACAAGTTCTTTCAACTCAAGCATGGAAAAAGGAAAGTTGCAGATAACAGGGGTAATTGATACATAACATACTGGGAGGAGGTAAGGTGAGCCCAGCAGGTAATCTTGGCAAGTTCACAGCTGGATGACCTTGCATACGAGCTAAGAAAGCCTCGGAAGGATCAGGGAAAACTTTCATCATAAAACTCCACAACAACAGGCTTCTTTGTGGACATGGAACTGTTTTCATCCTCTGGATACAACTTCAAGTGATGATATCTGTATATATATTACACTTCAATAAAATACAAGATTCAGAAATTATTTTGACTTTTACAGAAAATGGTTTGCAAGCTGCATGATTAATAACAATGAATACTGGTTGTATGGTTATATAGTATATCATTAGATATTATCCAAGCACTTGAGCAATATATAACTGAATACTCTTACCAAGCTTAGCAGTTTGCAAAATAGATATTTGCATACTCATCCAAGCTTATCATTAATAATAAAATGAAGCACCCAAGCCAAGTTGTTAAATCTATCTAACTAACCTTAGCAGGGCATAGAGTTGCACTCCTACAGTATTTCAGAATCATAACTACATCGCTAATGAATGATTGAAACGTGCTAAGAATTAAGTTGATATTTTGCCAATCCTTGGTACTTTCAGGCATATTTTGAACCTCTATAATGAATCAAGAAATCTTATTTCAACAAAAGGCTCAATATTTTTTTTTTCCTCCGGAATCAGCAACTAAATTCAAAGCAGTACCCAACAACTCACAAGTTCAAAGGTTTGTCACAAACATCACTATGGAAATAAAGTGTGATGGCAACTTCAAATTCCCCCCATCCAGCCTCCGACAATTCAAAAGGTGGCGCCTCCACAACACGGGTGGGATTATTGAAACTAGAATGCAACTGAAAAACAGCACGCTTTATTATCGCCCCAAGATCTTCATTGGATGCTCCACGGACATATACTGTCCATTTTCGTGACTTTCTTACTCTCTTTGTTAAAAAAAACACATTTTCGTGACTTCAAACTACACATTAGACCGGGTGGTGGCGACGTAGGATACTTACTCGCTGGCCTTTTTGCCAAGCCAAAATGCTATGTTCCCATACACGATTGGAATGTTTATTTCTACATCTTTGAGTTTCTTACCCAAGTTCTACACAAAACCAAGAAATGGTTATACTCGTACAATCAGTACTTTAGTAAAATATAGAGGAATTTATTTTGACGTTGTATGACATTTTAAAATCATATTTGACGTTATGCAGTGGTTTTTAATATCTTTGTAGTGCTATATGATGGTTCCTATTCAAAGTTTCGAATTTGAATCGATAAGGCAAACAAGCTGCAATCTTTACTCAGTCCCAAAAGCGCAGGGTTCGGGGGAAATCGTCATTTTGGCGAATTGGAAAATGGGGTTGCGGGTTTTATCCGAATTTGAACGGAGAATACCTAACAGAGAAGGAGGTGTGGCGAGGGAGTGTTGAAACGGAAGGTTCAAAACAAATAAAAAGCGCTATGTTGTTAGCATTCTTCCAATATTTTAAGGGAGGTGTAGGGTGTGGAGGTGCGGGGAAGGGGTGTAGGGTGCGAAGAAGGGGTGCGGGGAAGGGGGGTGTGGGGTGTGGGGTTGCGGAGAAGGGAGGGTGTGGAGTGCGGGGGAGGGGGGTGTAAATTTAGGAATTTTATTTTTTTTAAGGATAATTTAGACATTTTATATATATTTTTTTAAAAAGGAGGTGTATTTATATGAGAGTGGAGGTGTGTTTATCATCTGCCAAAAGGATTTTGCTCGTGTGGGCCATGGTCCAGCGTCCACATCAAGCCCACTATAGCATAGCACTTCGTAAGAAACGGCCTACTTACATGTCACGTTAGGAACACGCATTTACATTTTTTAGTTAAAAATATCATTTAACTGCTATTTTTTATTAATAATCTGTAAATACTTTCTTATATTTAATATTCATGGAGAATAATAAATATTGTTTAAAAAATTAAATAATATTTTCTTTCTTTCTTTAGAATGGTTTCAGTTTATGTATATATTCTTTCCTTCTGATCCTTAACAATAAAAACCATCTACTTTTATAGCTCTTGCTAAGAATACCGATTAAGAAAATTACTAAAATCTAAAAATCATGTTGAAATATATTGAAAATTACACTGAGAATTGATTAATTATAAGCTTTAAAAAAATGTCACTTTTTATCCATGTCTTTAGGAAATCAGTTACTAGTATTGAATATTTTTCTAAAATCTCACCGTTGACTTTTTAATTTTTATACAAATCTCAAAACCAATTTAATGGTGTAAGTCTTCGTTAGACCACACTTTGTTTATTTGGATTTGTGACGTCTTAATCATTGCACGGTCAACTGTATGGTACCAATTTGTATCCTAATCAATAATCAATTTATGAGACATCGATTTTAACATCAAATTATAGAAATAGAAAGAGACATTTTGCGTGTTAGCCTCTAAATAAAACTAAGAAAGAGTCAAAGGCAAAAAAGAAAAAAAAATAAAAATAAGAGGCAAATTATGGCACCAAGGAATTCGAGGCAAAGATCATTGCCACAAAGGAACAATGAGAGAGTTTTCATATCATGAATCATACATTCAATTAATGATTTGAATGCCTAACAAATGTTTTTGTCGGTAATAAAATGCCATTTTGTTGCACTTTTATTTGACTCTTTGGATCAACTACACCAAAATAGTCATCCATAAGCAAAGACCAAGTCAATGTGGTCACAAAGTAATAAGAATAGAAATGAAAAAAAAAAAAGTAGTACTAACTTGTAAGCTATAATTAAGTTAGTTTAAGTAACTTATAAAATTGAGTTAAAGATCAAAATTTATAAAAATGAGTTAAAAATTGTTAAAGGTCACATCTTAGATAAACTTAATCAATCAAACTTTTTGGTTAAAATATTTTTTGTTCTTATAATTTAGTAAATTTTATCTTTTAATTTTTATAATTAAAAATATTTCAATTTTTTATTTATATATTATTTTTGTTTCATTTACTTTCTATAATTTTATAAAATTCATCTTTTAGTATTTATAATAAATAGATAAAAAGTAAAATTTATAAAATTATAAAGACTAAACAAATATTTATACTAAATTTATTTATTCTCGAAGTTTATCTTATATCAAATTATCTGATTGGTAAGCAGATTTTATTTTTTGGTAGAACCTAACCTAAGTTGATTTGATTTGATTTAATTTTAGTGTACTCATGATCATGTCAAATCCAACCTAAAATATATATTTAATATGATTATGACTGAAGTGAGTTAGATTAACACATTGTAACCCCTTGTGTAATTACCCTATAACTGAATCCTAACATCTCAAATCCTTTTAAATCCACAACTTGAAGTCCTTGTCAATTATAATACACTGTACCTTACTGCCACTTAATTTTCATACTTTGTGAATTAAATTTTCCATATGCATTTCCTTTGTAAGTTGTAAGCTTCATATTTCCAATAAAAAGTGCCATAATCACATAAACCAACAGCTGCCAAGTTGATTCAACATAACTATTAAGGTTTTAAGCAAATTACACTCACAGTTGCTTAAGTTTTATGAAATTAAATAATATTTCTTACTTAAAGTTTATTTTTTGCTTAAAATGTGATTGGATAGTAGATTTTAATAATGGTTAAAGTGTGTCTTAGAGCATCTGCAGTGGGGGTTGCTTATAAGCAATCCTTTGTGCCACATCAACTCTTTTTCACTTTTTTTTAAGTACTGGAGTTTTTACAAACAACTTTGTTAAAAGTTAAACAACCCATAAACACTGAAAAGAGTTGATATGACATGATGTGGCACAAGAAATTACTTATAAGCAACCCTCACTGCAGATGTTCTTAGACACACGTTAAAAAAGTCGATAAAATAATATGATTAGTAACTTTAAACTTGGAAGTGTCATGTTTGTTTTTTTTATAAAAAAATATTAAAAAAAAGACGCAGAAAAGAAATTAATGGATAAATTAAGCAATGTCATAGAACACCTGTCGATCCTAGCTGTAGATACGAAAATAGTACGGAAAATGCAATAAATGTTTAACTAAAAGAATTTACTTAGCGTGCAATATGACAACCAACGAGGTCCTATCACTTTCATAGCTATTATTCCTTCATAAATCATTATTTTTATTTATTTTAATACAAACTTTTTAATGCTAAAATTAATTTGAAAAGTTGAATTGAGTTAAAATTAATTTTCTAAATCACTATTAAAAAATAGCAACAACACTCTTCTTATTTAATAGACTAATTATTTTTATTAATTTTTTGTGTGTGATTAAATTAGTATCTAATTATTAATTAAAAACATTTTTATTTACAAAAAAATAACATAGGTTTCTGTTTAACTATGTATTAATTAAACCTATGAGTCATTCCTTTTGTTGATTCAATTCAATAGTTAAATTTTAACCAATAACATGAGTAGTCAACAAATAAACAATGGTTGATATTTAAGCATGGATCATCTGTTTTATGAGCATGGAGCAGTTAAATTTGGAAAAGATTGACTAAAAAAGCAAGCTGCATTGAAAATGAGAGTAAAATATTGGAGTAAATCAATAATTCATGAAATGAATGAAAGCATGATGAGAAATTGGTGAGGGAAATTTGCATGAACTTTGGATTCTTGTGAAATGGAAGTTGGATAAATGACACAAGTCCACCAAACACTATTATTGCTCTTAACCACTACCTGGCTGTAAAATTTCACACTATCTCCTTCTTCCCCAACATAACATTAAAAAACGCAGTTAATGATTCTCACGTTCTTCCACATTTGTTGGGGACCCTTTTCTTGGATCCAACTCCTCGTAAAAAAATAGCCACTACCCTCTCATCAAAACCAAATTTTTCCTTTATTTTATGACAAGGGTCCCTCTCCCGTTTTCTTTTACAGTGCCAGCCATGACCGAGGTGCTCCATTTCTCTTCCTCTTCGTCTCCTTCCACTTCCTCCGACGGCATTCTCCAGGAACCGCCCTCTCAAGCGCCGGTCGCCGCCACCACGCAGCAAGACCTCTCTCTTCTCGCCATTCTCGTCACCCTTTTCAGGAAATCCTTGATTGCTTGCAAGAGTGAGGGGAGGAGGGGCCTCTGCGCCATGGACATTGGTTGGCCCACTAACGTGCGCCATGTTGCGCATGTCACCTTCGACAGGTTCAATGGCTTCTTGGGCTTGCCTCGTGAGTTCGAACCTGAAGTCTCCACGAGGCCTCCCAGTGCTAGGTGGGTAGTGGCTACCCACTAGCTAACACATCGTTTGCTAACTCATCACATTCTTTTTCCTTTTATGTGTCTCATCATGTCATGATCTTACTTTCTTACTTTCCTTGCAATTTCATTATCAACAAAACTCAGGTATAGGATCATAGCGTGTCGGTGTTACTACAATTATCTGATCAGAATTGGAGTTTTATCGTTGCATTTAATGGAAACCTCGATAATATACAATTTACTGTAGCGGTGCTTGCATGAACTAGCTTAAAATGTGAACTGAATAGGTGATTTCTAGTTGAGTAATGGTGAGATAAATGAGACGTCCTATCAGTCTTCGGTACTGGGATGGTTCTGGAAAAGGAGATCCTGTTGCCAGTGCAAGGCGATGATTTTGTTCCATGGGAATAGATGTTGGCTTGCATCCAAGCATTCCACATTCGTTTAAAATGTCTAAGGTATATTTTATTTGACATATGAATAATCCCTTTGAGCCTCGTGCCAACTCTAAACCAAGAAAGTATTTCAGATTTCCTAAATCTTTCATATGAAAGCAATTGCTCAAGTATTCCTTGAATTGGGCACACGAAAGAGAGTTATTACTAGCTATAACAAGATCATCCACATAGATCAAAACAACAATAAAAATTGAATCATGTGAATAGACAAAAAGACTATGATCAGCATCACATTCCTTGAAACCATACTCCTCCAATGCATGAGACAGCTTGGTGTACCAATTGCGAGAAGCTTGATGTAAGCCATATAATGATTTGCGCAAGCGACATACCATTCCTTTTGTGGGCACACTATATCCTTGAGGTACGGCCATATAAACTTCCTCATCTAATTCTCCATGTAGAAAGGCATTGCTTACATCCATTTGATGGAGTTCCCATTCTTTTGCCACTGCTACTGATAACAAGCACCTAATAGTAGTCATCTTGGCAACTGGTGCAAAGGTCTCGTTGAAGTCTTCTCCTTCTATTTGAGTGAACCCCTTTGCCACGAGATGTGCTTTATATTTTTCTATTTCTCCCGTAGCTTTGTATTTTATTTTGTATACCCACTTGCATCCTACAGTTTTCCGGCCTGGTGGGAGATGTGTCAATTCCCATGTTTGATTATCCTCCAATGCCTTGATTTCTTGTCTCATGGCAGTACGCCATTCAGGATGCTTCATCGCTTGAGCATATGTCTTGGGTTCATCATGAGACCCAAGTGCTGCAAGGTAGGCTCGATGTCTATGTGAAAAATGATCATAACTTACAAAGTTTGAAAGAGGATAGACCATACCTAAAGAGATGTTAGGATTGGTTGTCATGCATGAAGGGTTTACTGTGACTGCATGGCAATAATAATCCTTAAGATAAGTTGGAGGTTTCCTTGTTCATTTTTCTTCTGCTCGATTCTCCCCCTCACCTTGATTCTCTAAATCTTCGTCATTAGAACTCTTTGCCTCTATATTGTGAGAATTACTCCCTATTTCTTCCTTATTTTCTGAGTGTTCTCCCTCGCTTGATACTTGTGATGCATCTTTTGAAACATGATCATTATCTTCATGCATCATATTGTATGAATATTCATCTCGTTCTTGAGATGTGTAGTTTTCGTAAACTGTTCTTGCTGGTAGTTTGTAAGGAAAAAACTATTCATAGAAAATTACATCACGTGAAATAAAAAATTCATGTGTTTCCAGATTGTAAACTTTCCAGCCTTTTTGATTTTGTGGGTAGCCAATGAACATGTATTTTTTTGATCTTGGCGTGAATTTGTCTTGTTGTTTGGATGAATTTTTTACATAGCATAAACATCCAAAAATCCTTAAGTGATCATAACTTGGTGGTTTTCCATATAACATCTCGTAAGGAGTGATGCCGCTGTTTGCGATCGTGGGTGTCCTATTTATGAGATGAGTAGCTGTCAACACACATTCTCCCCAAAAATGTATGGGAAGATTAGCTTCGAAGCGTAAAGCTCTTGCCACATTGAGTATGTGCCTGTGTTTTCGTTCTACACGTGCATTTTGTTGGGGTGTTCCTACGCAAGAGGTTTCATGAACTATTCCTTCTTCACGAATGTATCTTTGAAAGCTTGAATTTGTGAACTCTGTTCCATTATCACTCCTTATTTTCTTCACATCCACATTGAATTGCCTTTTTATGATCGTGCAAAATTTTTTGAGCATATCTAGAGTCTCAGATTTGTGTCTCATTAGATAAACCCACGTGGCTCTTGAATAATCGTCAACGATGGTAAGAAAATAATGTGACCCATTGTGTGAAGCAGTGTTATACTTTCCCCATAGATCATAATGAATGAGATGAAAAGGTGCTTCAGCTTTATTATTACTACGATTAAAAGGAAATCTACATTGTTTGGATTTGTGACAAATGTCGCAGCATTCCTCTTTATTTGTAATGAAACTACATTTAACTATATTAGAAATTTTCTGGAGAGCTTCAAACAAGGGATGCCCTAACCTTGAATGCCAAGTACCAGCCATGTTTTTCAAGAAAGCGGTGAAATAAATACTTTTCGTTGGTCTTCTAAGTATGTAAACCCCTTCATGCATGTCACCTAATCCAATCATCTCTTTCATGGTCTGGTCCTGCAACACACAACGATTTTCATCATATGTTAATATGCACTTTGAATCACGTGCTAATTTATGCACAGAAATCAAATTACAACTAAATTGAGGCACAAATAAAACATTTTCCAGCTTGATATTTTTATCAAGATCAATATATCCCATGCTTTCTACCAAAACAACATTTCCAGTGGGTACTGTCACATAGAAGGGTTTCTCAATCTTTCGTACTGCCTTTAAAAGAGAAAGACAAGGTGTCATGTGATGTGAAGCTCCACTATCTAACACCCATTCTATTTCTCTAAGATTTTTGTTATTACCAGCCATATTCTCATGCACTCTTGTGTTATGTGTCATGTGCTTTTCATGGAGTGTGTGCGCAGCCTTTGCACCTTTTGGAGCTTCTTTTTCTTCATCCTCAAAAGCTAAAAATGCATTAGATTTATGTCCTTGTCTGCGTGTATCATTTTGTGTCCTGCGAGTATTCCAATTCTCTGGGTAACCAATAATCTCAAAACAATTTGGCTTAATATGACCTGTTTTGCCACAATGATCGCACTTAGATCGGGATCCACCACGTCCCTTTGGTTTTACTCCTTTAGATGAATGAAAAGCTGCTCCATTTTCTGCTTTTGCACTCTTTTCTTTATCGGTTGTAAGATGTGATTCTTCTCTTTGAATATGATTGAAGGCACGCCTTAGAGAGGGAAGTGGTTCTGTGTTCAGAATGGTAGCCTTGATGTGCGAATATTCCTCGTTTTCAAGACCTCCAAGAAACAAGTGAACACGATGGTCCTCTTCTCTTTGAATCATCTGTTTTGAGGCTCCGCAGTCACACTCTGGCAAGGGCTAAAGTTCATCAAGCTCATCTAAAATGCTTTTAAATTTTGTTAATAACTTGTCACATCTTCATCATGTTCTTTCTCCATCATACACAACATACGCCATAATTGATGAATTCTTGGAGCATTGATTTGTGCAAAACGTTCCTCAAGATCGAGCCATATGTCTCTTGCTGTTGAAGCGTGTGAGATGCTACCATGTAGACTTGGCTCAACAACATTTATGAGCCATGCCATTACCATTGTAACACCCTAGTTTTCAAAAAGGTTATTGTTATTATTATTATTATATGGTATTTGATCATAATTATTTTAATAATTATATAGAAATATTATTTTGTACGTTTTAAATAATTATTATTTTGGACAATTATTTTGTACGTATTAAATAAGTATTTTTATTAGTATTTTTAAATAAATATTTATATGTTTTAAGAGAAGATTGATTTTATATGATATTTTGTTATTGAAATTTATTATTATATTTTGGGTCAGAAATATATTATTATTATAGAGGAAAAATATTTTATAATATACATGTATTTATTTTATTTAATTATTTTGAGGAGAAAGAGAAGTGGGTTAGAAGAGAAGGAAAATGGGTTGGGTTGACCCAGCCCAATAGATTAATTTTAAGAAAGGAATCAGGTAGTGTTAACCCTATCTGCCTCATTTGCATTCTGAGGGGTTAGGGAAAAAAAGAGAGGAGAAACAAAGAGCTCTAAGGAAGAGTACTCAGGAACGATCTTAGATCACACCAAGACCATCCGTCTTCT